CACACCTTCCCCACAAGGTGAGGAGTGATAACTCAAACCCTGCCAATAACAATCTCCACCTCTGCAAAGTTCTCCCTCAACACACCACGCGACAGGCTCCCGTTGATGGGCATCACCACATCCAACTCCGACTTCGAAAAACACCCGGCTACTACTATATGAGGAGAAGCATTACACCAACAGTATCTTCCAAACGAACCACCCTTTTCTCGGCTGCTCGACAACATCTCTCGTTGCTTTGTTACTACTGAACTCCTACCTACTGAACTCCTACCCTTCTCCCTCACACACACACGCACTCATGCGCATACACTCTCGTTCACACACGCATGCAGTCACGCACGTGATAGAGCCAATGTATATACCCATGTTATAGGGTGGATTCAGTCGATTTTTGCTCATCCTATCAATTGAAGTACCGTAACCACCTCGACTCACACATACTCACACACTCCCACGTACTCCCATACGGTCAGTATCCGCCGATTTGGACCTTGTCGCGACGTTGAAGACTTACCTGCTCTCAGTCTCCTACTCCGCCATCGTCGTCGTCGTCGACATCCTTACCGTTTTCGCACGTCAGGTAATTGCCACCTCCTCTCCTCCTCTTCTCTCTTCCTCTCTTCTTCACCTTCGATCTTTCTCTCCTCCGTCTCTCCCTCTCTGTTACATCCCCTGATGGGCGATGTACGCAATAGCCGAGGTCCGCAACGTGAAAAGGACTGAATGGACAATGCTGTGCAAGTGGAATCTCAACTATCAACATGCATTCCGATACGTTCAAGATGGTGTTGGATAGCGCAGGGAAGATTTAGACATAAGACCTGACCTGACCTTTATCGCGTAGTACTAGATAGCGAAGCAGAATGCTAGAAAACCGATGACCAGCCCAACCTATGTTTCAACTCAGACCAAACATACGTCATGCTCATCACACGATGGTGGGGGAGCCTGGTGCTATACACAGAGAGGAAGCGCCAGGTCCAGACATACACAGACGACGAGGAGGGGATCAGACGGGGAGATGGGAAAGTTGCCAACACAAAGTCTTTGTCACCGTTCCCAAATGATCCCCTGATGCCATATCTGTAATCCCAAAAGTCGAGTCTGGATCTGAATGTTGTCGTCTCAGTTAGCGACAAATAAGAGCAGATTAGTAATCTAATATCAAGTTGATAATCATAGTACTAATAAATAATAATAATAATAGTAATAATAATAATAATAATAATAATAATAATAATAATAATAATACATATAATAATAAACTGAATGCATACTTACTATATTTTCGGCTAGGTTCAGACAAAGTGAAGGTGCGTTGTGTCTGGGTTGGTCGCTCGACTGTAACAACGACGATCAATGGTCATGTGGCGAGTCTTTCTATCTCTACCTCCTTTCTCTTACGTCTTTGTTTCCTTCGCTCCCTCGTCCCCACCGTAGTAGTCGCCCTCTCACCATCTTCTTCCTCACCGTCTTCTTCTCTCCCTCTTCGATCTCTCTTCCCTCCTCCTCCTTTCTTTTTTCTTTCTCATATACACACACACGTGGTTGTACTCTGTAAAGGTACAAATCAAGACAAGAACCGACCTCTCGTACAAAGCACGAGATAGCGTAGCGGGAGACTTGGATACCAATGATCCGAACAATCACTATTGCAATGCAACCTCATACATCATTATCGTCCCATGATGTGAAGGGGCCAGACGCTCACAAGGAAGGACGCGCCTGTCCCTGCCATACACAGATGAAGAGGAGGGGATTAGACGAAGACGAGGGATAGATGGGATAGTCGTCAGCACCAAGTCTTCGATACAGGCCCCAAATAACCCCTCTTCGATATATGAATCCCAACGTCGAGTCTGAATCCAAATGTTGTCAAGTCCCAGAGTCACCAATCTCTCTCTCTCTCTCTCTCTCTCTCTCTCTCTCTCTCTCTCTCTCTCTCTCTCTCTC